ATCTATATAGGTACACTGAGGTACACTGATTTTTGCAGTGCTCCTCGTCGTCTGACCAGTTTGTCCGAAAGCAGAGGTTTGTAATATAACGTAAATAGATGGGCCTCACGAAATTACCTTTTATTGTCCTCGTCTGCTATTGACTGTTCTGTTTTTGGGAGATATACACCCATATTTCCGTGCTAAAGCACTCCTGCAAGTTCCCCATCCCTGATACAGTAGCATTTCGTCTACCTACCGTTACATATATTTTTTGAACGAGAAAGATTTATCTTTTGCTCCGTCTAATATGAAGACAACTCGCTTCTCGACTGAAGAGGTGCCGACATTCCTCTTATCTGAAATTACGAGATGGTGCGCATAGCCTGCTCTAAGAGAATAAGAGCTTTTCGTGGACAGCCTCGTGGTTCCATCTGGCCTCGATGTGACAGCCTTCCACCCGTGTACGTAATCCTCCCTTCTTCGTTCGCTGTTCTTCGTTCCCTAAGGCCCCGTCTTCACCAGGCACTCCGTCTCATCACGTGGGTCGGCCAATCTACTGATACTACTGATCCGTTACTTCCGCTTCTCCTAGTTCCGCCACACCAAGCGGAGCTCTATAGTTGGCCTACCATTTAGTTCAAGCAACGTCTGGTCATAACAACGCCTTTCCTAACTTTTGCTTTAACCTCCTTTATCCCTCTTCCTGTTTCGAGGCCCGTCCACCACTGCCCAGTCGTAGTCAGTGAGCTGTAATGGCTTGCGACATAGTTCACTGCTTCAAGCGCTAACAGTTGTTATCTTTCAGCATCCTAGGCTTTGTGGCGCATGTAGGCTCTCGATAGATGAGTATGTGGTATACCATGCAAGAAAATAAGCACTAAATGTAAACGTATTTATCGCTCACTCGGACGCCTCTTAATTAACAGGAATATGTTGAATTTTATGCAAAGGCAGAATGTCTGGTACAGAGGCCATTGGCTTGCCTTAATTGCTCGGTCACAATCATGTATCAAAGCTTTCGTGGTGTTGACGATGCGTTTCCTTAAATGCGTGCGTGTGTAAAAGTTGTTCTTTTTTAAAAGTTTTACAGGTACAGCTGTGTACTTTTGAGGTGTTCCTCTTGTTTTGCCTTTACCGATTATAGACCGTTAAATCGGCCTTACTACTAATCGAATAAATTGTTATAGCAAAAAGATCTATTATTTACTAAGCAATTGTCTACTTGCAGCCCTATTTGTGTTATCGGTAGTCATCGAAAGCATCACTTAGCACCCACTCCAGGTATCACCTAGGCTCCACTGTATCGTCGAAAGTATAACGCGAGGATTATGCAAACGATGCCTTTCTGCAGTGTTCTTCTTGGACCATTACGTTTCTGCTGAGCTACAGTAAGATATAATAGTTCAGCTTAATACGTTAAATCTAATGAAGTGAACCGCTTGTCGTTCATCGTGTAATGTGCGAAATGAATCGAATGGGGTTTATTGTATAGTTTGCTAAATATCTAAATAAAAAATAAAAAAAAAACCAAAGGTGCTTTATTTAACTCGGCAACAAATATTTACGATGCCACGGTGGCATCTAAAACCGCATTTTAAAAAAAATTTTTAAAATTAGTTTCATAACGTTCCATCATTATAACTAAGCGTTCTTCGCACCCGTTGTCTTCCGGAATCATTCCTGCATCTAACGTTGACAACGTGTTAGCTGTTGATATATGGCGTTCTGACAAAAGATCACGTCGCAGTAAAAAATATAAATACATGGTGTGTGACATAAAATACAGGAAATTTAGGAAAAAACGTCAACGTGCATGGAGCAGCTTTTTTTTTTAAACCAAACAGAAGATTCTATGAAAATCTTCTATTTGGTTTTAAAATCAGTGTATATCAAACCATACGTATTTCGTAGCATAATGTACGGATCATCTATGAGAAAATCATATGTTGTCAGCGTGACGTGCTTTTAGCTCCATACCCTAGATTTGTTTGTCTCTGTAGGCCACTAGTTAGCCTGGCATCAATTATTGAAACATAAAAAGCGGATTCCTTAGTAAAAAAAGTGTCAGTAGCAGAGGTAGCATTAGTAGTCCTGATCAGCTATAAAGGCCGTGTTGCATCTGTGGAAGTCACACGTCGTTTTCGCTGGGTGCCTGTCAATGGTCCGTACCATCATTTCACTTATTTGCTAGTTCGAAAGATGACGGAAATAGGAGAACCAAGTAAGGGATCACCACCGGAAGTTAACGCCATCTGCTTTGCGTACAACGTCCGCTCGTCTGCGCCGTCCAAGAACAGCAAATGCAAAGCTCGCTCCTTCCATCTTCTCGTCATACTATCATTGAACCTGCTAAGCCAAGATGGGCCAAATCAGGTACTAAGTCATTCAGCCGCTTACTGCAAGCAGAATACTTTTTGGTAGACTCCTCTGAAGAAGTTCGGAGGAGAGACGGAGCATCCCAACATATGCACTCTGCTGCACCCGCTTATACTGTTATTAGCTAGCTTTCGTTGTTGGTGCTTATACTGCTGATAATACGGCCGTCTTTGTTGTTATTGTCGCTGCTGCTGCTGCTGCTTCCATAAGCATTTTCGCCAAGTGGTACACGCTCACCTATACAGTATTACGACAGACGAGGCGATGGTGCGCACAGTGATGAACAGCCCACAGTCTACATCACGTACTGCTACACAATGAACTTCCTGAGGAAGCGCCTCTCCTGTTCCGTTATTCTCAGCCATCTATGCACACGGTTTGCGTTCGTCACTGATCAGCCACTATTCCGAGCTGCAAATCGTAAGGTATCCTTGCCACATACATAACGCTCGCCGTTCAAGGATGATCTGGAGAAGACGAAAAAGGCACTTGTTGTTGCTGTTGCTGTTGTTGTTGTTGTTGCTGCTGGTGCTGTTGTTGTTGTTGTTGTGTTCCATTCTAGGGTAAATATTCTTTACCTAAAGGATGTTTTTGCGATTTGCTTTCTTTATGATTTTTTTGTGATTTTTTTTCTTTAAGCGTCTTTTTGCAGGAGTCTCTTATACACATCTATGAAATAGTTGTGAAAGCTCATTTGGCCGTATTTTCCTTAATGATTTTTCGACTGATAACTTAGTAGCCATATATTTATGTATTAGGAGCGTTCCTGGTATCAATCAAGAGCTTTAGCCGAATTGAATCGAAATGCTATATATGTTACTAGAACCCAGTATGTTTTCTAGTAGAAAAAACTTACGAAGGAGGCTTCTTAACGCCAATCGATGATAGATTTTGACAAGATTTAACATTTATCCTTCGGCGTTACTAACTGAGGAGTGTCTCGTCCACATGTTGATGGCGGTGAAGATGCGTGTCGAGCCATCTTTATCAGATTTTTTAAGCAATCTCTAATGAGTGCCTGTTGGAAAATGGTAGCGGCCGATATGATGAACACTTTGAGCTATTTTTTTAAATATTTTTTAAAAATGTTTTCTGAGAGAAGTACGAAAAAGTCTATGATGCAAAGTCTCAATAGACACTAATGCTCTACACGAATCGATAAGTCGAACATGCCGTCCGAAAGAAAAAGCTTAACATAATATTCTATCGATCGGGATTCTTGACGCCGATCGGTAGGCCTCGACAAGCTGAACAAAAGTGCAATGCATACCGGTATACCTGAAGTTGGGTTAAGATATCGGTCGAAAAAAAATAGGTTAAAAGTGAAAATTCCATTGGTCATATCAGTTTGCTCGCGTAACAGTAAAATTCAAACGCATTTCGATCTGTTTTCGGATGTCTTATTATATAATATGTATATATATATAGAAATATTAATTAGAAAATTTAGATGGCCACTGTGGATAAGATTCTAGCAAAAAGGAAATTTAATATATACTAAGAATAAAAGATTCAGACTCTTCAAAAAATCATAGGAATAACTAGTTCTAAAAAAATTACAATATACTGAATTTAAGCTTAGCAAGAAAACGTCTACGCCTTCTTAGGAAAAAAGTCACTAGATTACTCGACTTTATCAATTACAACGTCTGTTGAAAGTGGGCCGAAAATCCATTTGTTTGTCTACGGCCATTCTGTAAAAGATTGGTCGATAGGCAAACGTACTCACGTCTGTCACGAAAACAAAGTCAATCGACAAACATATTATAACAAAATGATTACGTAACTACAGAGGGGTAACTATTTAAATGGGGCAGGGTGACTGTGACGCGATAATAGCTAATGTGCTTCCATTGGCCCAATTAAGACATCCTGGAGAAATTTGCGTGTAATATCCGAGTGGATGAACGATTGGTCACAGAAGAGTTTGTTTTTCTATACCACATGACGTGATGTTAATTTAAAAAATAGGTTATTTTTTGTCATTTTTTGTCACGACTCGATAATCCTTAAGAACTTTGTAAAAAATTACGAAGTTGCTTGTTTTTGTATAAGGGATGTAACTGGATTAGAAACTGAGGTATTAATTTTTATATGTTTGTGACCTAGTGGTGAACTAATGATTTTCGTTCCGATGGTTGATCGTTGATGGAATATAGAGGATCTTAGTTTATTTTTAAAATGTACAAATACTTTTTTCCTGGGGGAAACAGTTTGTTTTTCCCATAACGGTACGGAATGCGAGTTTAACTGATCTAAGGAGTTGTCAATGAATATACGGTCTATATTTTCTGCGTGCAACATAATATCAAGTTCTTCTAGGAGACTAGATACAACTTGGGTCAAATGCTAGACTAAGTTAATAAAATTAGAAAAATGGGATAGCTGTAACAATATAAAGAAATAAGTCTGCAATTTCATTTTTAGCTAGAAGGAATGCTAAGACATTTGTCCTATGCAGAATACCACTTCGTTTACGCTCTCTTCACACCAGTCAGTAAATCTGACTAAAAGACTAGATAAGACAATAATAGAT